TGATTCAAATGTTGAAGCTAAGGTTGGGCGATATGGCCTTAAATGAATATCACGATATATTGAGGATTTCACCTAGATAACAATAAATGGACGATAACTACAGGTATGCGCAGAAACAAGACTTATCCACTAGATGGGGCTGTCACATGTATTACATTGAGTCACATTTTTACGTGACTCAAGGTGGTACAGCTTCTTAAAGGGACATAAATGTTGCCAACCTACACACATCTTTTCATTTTTTTATTATCAAATTTATTGACATGGGATAAATTATCGATTACAGTCAGAAATTTTGATAACGATAAATTTTCGATTTATTGCCCAGCCCTAGTTGAAGGAGTGGGCAGGGGCAATGGATAGTGGCTGAATGAAACCGCCAGTAGTGACCAAATCCAATTTTCCTCGAGGTTTTGCTTGATCAAATGTACTACATCATACCCTCCAACTGCCCCCGTAGAGGTAGTACGGGAAGTAATCTTCCATATAACGTTATCGTGTTGAACTGCTCGATATGATGTGATACTGATTTGAGGGCACATCACCCAGCCCTACCAGATAGTGTAAAAAATAAATAAAACAAACAAACAAAAAATGTTTTTCTGATTATAGCTCTTTGAAGTAAATGTGACAAGGCTGAAATCGGTATCAGCACCTAGACCCAGAATCGGTCCATCTTTAAAAACTACTACGCAAGTTTAAACTCGGTGCCAGGCTGTGCATATCAAGCTGTTATATTTAGCTTTTTCATGTTTTCATCAAGTCTGAACTGCTTCCAGAGAACCACGATGACTTATAATTTTATGAGGCAAGCACAGATGTCTTACAGCGCGATCCAGACAAATGACGAAATCCTCTGGTTTGTGTGGGAGTGCCCCATCACAGATTTATTTCCTATGCAGTAAACTTTGACAGGGAATGAGGACTGGTTAAATGAGACGAACACAGCTCAACATGGTTGTAATTGAGTAAGGAGCAAAACACAAACAATAACAGCCTCCCACCTTCGAATCTCCTCTGTAAAAACAGAACCAAAGCATGGCGAGTCCTCGACGGGGCGCATTTTGGATAGAGCCCAGGTTGGAACTCAAGGACATTATTCCCCAACTCTGAGGTTAAAATCAGTTGCTAATAACAGCAGCAGCCCATTTTTGCTTAATTTCCATGTCCGATTACTCAGACAAAGGCTGAATAATGATGTACGTGACAGTAATCTGGTCGCTTTGATAGTCTGAACCAAACCGAAACAGAATTTGCATAAACTAACTAGCTGCTTGCAGTTCTTACTGTATCCGTGCCATCTGTGGTTATTCAGCTACACCGACTTAATCAGCAGGAAAGGGAAACACTTGAGCTGCAGAGATGCTGGAATAACTGATTTATTTCAGGTTTACTGGGATTAAACTGACAAAATAGCTCATGTGTGTCGAGCTGCAGTCATTCTTAGGCTACAACGCTTCAGCCTCCAGCTGATCCTGAGCTGCATCCAAAACACCACAGTTTCAAAACATCTGCTGTAGATTTTTATCAGCAGGTAAATAAAAGTGTGTGCGCTCTAGAGATCGGGTCAGAGTTAGCTGTTTTTCTTCTGAACAAAACACAGAAAGGTGACAAACTGTCCTCTGCCCTGATGAGTCAGTGTCACCATGACCACAATGGTGCTCATTCTGTGTGACGTGAGTCACCATGGAACACTAGAAACAGAGCGCCATTGATTTAAGTGTTTACTTGTTCGTGGTATACGTGGAATTCTTGTCGAACACCAGTGACGTACAACCTAGGGATATAAATGATCAGATTAGGAGTGTTTGACCTCCAGCGAAAGATTTCTATAAAAAACAGGATCTGTTAGCGCGAGGATTATTCATTTTAAATGACTCACCGCTACTCACACATGACATTTTAATTCAGTATCTGTAAAACTGACTGAGTTTTGCTTTTGATAGCCGTGGCAGCCATCTTGAATTAGATTGACATTGACCAATTACATCACAGCAAAGTGACAATGTTGTCCAAATTCAAAGAACACTTAAAGGTGTGGTTTACCCGATTATTTAAAACATTTGCAGTGTTCTCTAATGTAAATCAATGCCGTATGAGTCATTTCAAGAACAGCTATGATGCTCCTGTTCTGAGATGCAGAAGTTTGCTGGTGCAGAGGTGGGCTGAAAGCAGCAGTATTACTCATCATTATTAATGATATACACACATGTCATTTCTGATTGGCTACAAAAACGTGTTCAGCCATGTTGCAAAGTCACTATCACCAACACACTCTCTGCTCCCTCTCCTTGCTGCAAAAAAAAAAAAAAGAGCATGAGCCGAGATGGTTGAGACCCATCCATCCATTTTCATCCACTTATCCGGAGTCGGGTCGCAGGGGCAATAGCCTAAATCGAGAGGTCCAGACTTCCCTCACCCCAGCCACTTGGGCCAGTTCCTCCGGGGGAATCCCAAGGTGTTCCCTGGCCAGGTGAGAGACATAGTCCCTCCAACGTGTCCTGGGTCTACCTTTAGGTTTCCTCCCGGTTGAACGTGCCCATAAAACCTCACCAGGGAGATGTTCAGGAGGCATCCTGACCAGATGCCCAAGCCACCTCAATGGGTGAGTGAGGCCATGAATGCAAATTCAAAGTGTGACATCACATTGTGAGGCTTTTCAAATCCCAGCATTTCACCACCTATTTTCCGAAACTAGAGCAGGAGATAGGTGTAGGAGACTTATTTTCATGTTCAGCCTGCATGAAAACCCAGAGTGACTGATTATAATCAGAAATAATATTTTAAAAATGTTTTTTTTTTTCAGTCAACCACACCTTTAAAATGTGTCCTTGTTTTGCCTGAATGTCAAGAAAGGGTCTGGTATATTAAGGTCATATCAGGATTACTGGCGTGCCAAATGGGAAAATTTGTTCTTGTAATATTGGTGCGATAGAGGATTACAGTTTTAAAAGTTAGTGTCAATGATTACATATTATTGCACTTTAAGAACATGCACACACCCAGAGTTACCAGTACATCCATGACACTATCAGTCAGTATAAGAGCTAGCTAGCCGTGATGAAGCTGCACTTTGGAGTACTTAGCTGCTGCCAGCATGGCAGCACTGCTAAGCTTATTTGGATGCATGCGTGTGTGGGGGTGTAGGGTGGGAGTGGGGGGTCTAAGTGCGCACTGCAGCAGCTGACATAATGCTGAAGATTGTACCACATCGCTTCATTCCCTCTCTAAACTCTCACATCTATTCCACTCTAGCGCTCGTTTTCCATCCGATCCGCACTCCGCACTAGTTCGTAGTTTCTCTCTTCCACATATTGGACGTGTTTCACTACCGTATTCTTGTAGAAGTCCCATTTCCCAAGAAAAGCACCACTGGCTGCTGGTGAGGCATTATTCAGGGCCCTACCAAACCCTCTCTCTTCCTCTCTTCAACACAATCTACTGCTCTACACTGTATGGGCCTGTTACCAAGGTAACGACAGGGAAATATTTTCTGCATGAAGCAAAACAGTTGATAAGAAGAAGGAGAAAGCGGGCAACGTAAATGAGAAAGTAGATGGCTGGAAAATTGAAGTTTTATTGGATAACTGACACGGAAGAGGGCGGAGAGAAAAGCTGCAGTTGACCTTCTACTTAGCTGGCTTCCACTCAAGTCAGATCCTCCTCTTTTTCCTTTCCAACCACTTACTGTCGTGCACACGCCATTGCTGTACCTACCGCTACACTAAGCTCCGTCGTCGTCGAGAGAAACGCCCAGAGAGGACTGCTTGTGCTGCACGCAAACAACGCCTTGCTGACAGTGTAACATCTTCACCTGGACCTTTCACTTAGTTAATGAGGAACCAGAAAACACCACATCCTGTATCACTAAGTTCTCTAATGCTGTGACACAGTCACGGGTACCATTTATACAAGCAGAAACTGCCACAAGAATAAAAGAAATACGAGTTGAATAATTCAACGTCACCTAAAGTCAACAGCAGAGCCAATCCCAAGTCGCAGGGAGCAAAGGCTACTGGTGTGACCGGGTCGAGCTTATATAAGTCAACTAGAAGTGCACCGAGTGCAAGGTGTATGAAGTGAAAGAACTTAGATGGGAAAGTTCATCGAGTTAATCAGAGGAATTAAAGCTTACATAACTGTATGTGAATTTGTTGACGACTTACACTAATGCAAACTTTCTCCACATATTTCCTGTCATCACCCTACATGTGGCATCCATATTCCGGTTGATTAAGCTGTGAGGGCTCCAGGTGTCACCTTTCCTCTAATTTCCCCTTAGGGAGTGCTAATGTGCCTAGTTCTGAAGTCGGATAAGACAGGAGCTCTTCTGGATCTATTTCTCCTCAGAGGAAACAACACTTCACACTGGAAAACCACCCAAAAGCCAAGATCTGGCATCAGCTCTTTGTCTTCTAGCCAAGCTTTTCCAAAACAAATTTGAATGGAATGGTCACGTCATAAATCCTTATGGAACGGTGATTAGATCTCGTCAAATGACAAACTGTGAAGCTAAAGATGTGGGATTAAGGTTTTTCTTTTTCACTCTGATGGGATGTTTTTGCCGTGTGTTACGAGAGATCAGATGATAGGAATAAAACGAAACAAAAAGTACCCCCGTGGACTACGCCAGTGTCTTGTTCATGTGGTCAGAGTGACGGTAGAAAATTCTAGCAGAGATAAAGTGATGCTGGAGGAGATACAGCTTCACAGTGGTAGGAAGGCAGGGAATGGGAGGGTGCAACCTCCACCCCTCCACGTGCTGGAAAATCACATGGCTCATCCTGACACGCTACCTGTGGTGTGTGTGTGTTTGCCTACCCACATGTCGGCATTACAGACGCAAAGATAAAGCAGAGCAGAAAAAAAGACAACCAATGAGCCTGACTGACGTCATTGGGTCGACGCTCACTCTAAGGGTTATTCGTAGGCTGTTTACCCTGAGATGTGCTGGGATAACACCCCATAACCCCTCTGTACGACCCTGTAGCTGGTCTCACCTTAGTGCGTCCGTTGATGACACAGTCCCCCAGCTGTCCGTTTGCAGCGCTGTACTTGACAACCTCATCAATGTGAGCCATCAGCGTCCCGATGTACTTACAGTCGGTCTGACCGTCCACCCAGGTGATCTGGTCGCCTCGGATGCTCCCCGGAGGAATGTTCCTCTGGCTCACGAGCTGACCAGCTCTAAAATCCCCATTGTGACTCAGATCCCCCACCTCCTTTAGGACCTTGTTGCCTAACTGTGGCCCAAGGAAGTTGTCCTTCACACAAATGCCGTAGTACTTCATGCAGGGGATGATGTATTGCTTGGCTATGGACTCGGCAGACCAGCCAGTACCTGCAGGAGGTAATGGCGCCGGGATGGCGCTCATACTGCAGGGAGAAGCCAAGCTGGGTGCAGCTGGTGAGTCTGAGGGTGCCACGAAACACCCGTTGCGCTGATTAGTATGAGAAGCAACAGGAGCCAGGTTGGGGTTGCTATGGGAACCGCTGCTGCTGCTGTTGACAGAGACTGGGAGGAGAGCAACTCCTCGGGTCACTCTGGAGGCCTCCGGTGATTTGTTAATAACAGCTCCATCTGTCAGCTTCCTCCGCTTCAAGTCAGACTCTCCGGGTGGGAAAACCAGATTTGAAGAGCCCCCTAACCCAGGTGACCCCATCACGTGACCATTAGGCCTATGGATTTCTGACCCAGTGTCCCGGTTTTCCCCACACCTCCTTTTCTGATGCGGAGCCGGTCTGATTTTCAGGTCCCCATTGAACCTATGAACGCCCCTGTCCGCGTTCTCCACCAGACACATGCCGATGAGGGGGTGCGCAGGGCCAGCCTGTCCGCCCTGTGAGGGGTAGCCATGTGGGGTGTGAGCTACAACACCGGCCTGGTTCGCCTCCACGGTGGCGGAGGGAGACACCACACCGACGTTGAGCGGCACGCCGCTTTTAGACTGCGTCGTCGGGGTCGTGATTCCGGGGGAGTTGGTCTGAGAGGCCATATCCGCGAGCAGCTCCGCGGCCGTCTGGCTCCCGACCGGCACCGAGCAGAAGCCGTTCAGACCCATGTCCGCCCGGTACGCGCCGGCGTGAACCTCCGGAGGCCCGGACACGCGCTGCTGGCCGCTCGTGCTCCTCTCCTGCGACTCTGAAAAGGCGACGGATCCACGGGGGGAGCTCTCCGTCAGTCGCAAACTCTCCATTTCATCTCGTCGGCTGGATGCGCACGTACCACACGTCCTCGCCTCATTTTCTGGCTGAGCCGCAGCTTTCTCCTGCTGTCAGGAGCTCTGCCGCAACCTCCAGAAGTTTCATGTCCCAGATCCGCTGCGACTGCTGGCCTCGCCGCCTCTTTAGAGCTCCGTGTTTGCGTCTGTCCACCTTTTAAACGTTTGCTGGGAAGGTGGGATGTCTGCGGAAAGTAAATTGATACAATTTAATGCTATAAATAGCTTGACCAGACCAGTCACATTAGCACCAGAGAATGCGTTTAAAAGGGTTGAACACGCGAGAAAAGTCACCCTTGCTTCTGATTTCATCAAAAAAGGCACCAAAAACAAAATGCCACGCATATCACACGATCACACACACATTAACCAACATTAGGAAGTTCTGAATTTTTGTTTCAGCTTTATAATTTAAACGTTTGTCAAAATAGAAGCGAGGTCTAAAAACTCACCTTTACTTTGATTATCACAATAAACATTTACGCAGCTGTGAACCTTCCGCTATTTTTACTTTTTAAGCTATATTTTATTGTTGCAGCAGCCGTTTAGACCATTATTCTTCTCTGTCAACTAATAATTACTAACTTATAATGCCCTTATTTGCGCCTATTTGTTTAAAAAAAGATTTATTATAATTGTCCTAATCTATTTCACTGAATACTTTTGATGTTGGATAAGTTTAATATTGAGTTAATAAGGTGAAAAGGCGTACTACTCTTACCTACGGAAGCCCTACACAAATGCAAATCCTCAGCGAGCGTACGTGACAAGCTGGGAGTACGCATGCTATTTCCGGTTGTCTCGCTCTGCTGCGGGTCCCGTCCAATTTCTGTGGGTTATAAATAACAACCGGGCGGCCAAGCGCCGCTCCTGACACACTGAACCCAACCGGGAAGTGAGGGGAGCCGCTCGGACACGCGCTCAATCAATCTCCACTCTACCACCAAATGCACCGCTCCCCGTTTGTGTAGAACAGATCTTAGCTTCTACCTCCCCTCCTACTCCCCCTCCTTTGGCTGGCTCCCGCCAGTCATTTGCATGCACACGAGTCACGTGATCTGCCACTACGGCAGAAACCGCCCCACAACAGATAAGAAAAGTGTGCCACTGGGATTTTGTGTGGCCTTTGAACATTAAACTGGAGATGCTAAGAAGCAACCAGTTAGTCTTAATCCTAGTTGATGGTGTTCCAATGAGATAGTGCAGCCTAGGGAGTGAGCTAACAGACTACTGTCTCAACAATCATACAGATAACTGCATTTCAAATGTGTTTTATTAAAACTAGATCAAGTCATCTTTGGCTAACTTTAGTAGTGAACTGATCTTAAATTACATTCGTCCACAAAAACAGTTTTTCGTTAATTATTTAAATAAAACTGAGTTCACAGAACCAGTGCAAAAATATAATTATGGTGCACCAAGTGCACAGATTCTCTGCATTTATTGCAAAAAAAGAACAATAAAAAGCCAGAAAATGAGCCACTTCAGGGGGACAGGTTGCAGACTCCTGATTCTATGATGAAGTGTTTTTTCTGCTGGAAATTTTTTGTTTATGCCAGTAAAGAATCATTCATGTCAGCTGGGGATCTACGATGTAAACCTTAAAATCTCTGACCTGGAAACCAGACCAAATCAAATCAAAGCTTTATTTATAAAGCGCCTTCTGCAACCCTGTCAGGAAGCCCAAGGCACTGAACATGGTACAGTAGAAGTACAAATATAGTGAATAAATCAAAAATAAAAGCACTTCAAAAATAAAAGCAATTCAAATTACAAAATACAAATTACAAAAAAAGGTGAAACACTCTAGTACAGGACAGATGGGTAAAACAAGGGACAGAGTGAACCAATGAAAACTGTGAAATAAATTCAATGTAAAAGAGGGCCGAATCAAACACGCTCAGGAAACGCCAAGCGGAGGAGGTGGGTTTTTAGGCAACTCTTAAAGACTGGCAGAGATGGGGACAGCCTAACAGAGGGTGGCAACTGGTTCCAGAGTGACGGTGCAAGGACTGAGAAAGCCCCGGTCCCCGCGAGTACAACACCTAGAACGAGGGACAGCGAGCAGGCCTTGGTCAGAGGAGCGCAGAGTGCGTGATGGGGAATGTTTGTTCAGGAGTATGGCCAGATAGGGAGGAGCATTACTCTGGAAGAAATTGTAGACAAAGACGAGGATTTTGAATTGTGAGCGATAGCAAACCGGAAGCCAGTGCAGGGAGGCCAGAACCGGACTGATGTGGTCCCGTTTCCTGGTCCCAGTCAGGAACCTAGCTGCGCTGTTCTGCACAACCTGTAGGCGACACAGTGATGACTGACACAACCCTGCATAGAGAGAGTTGCAGTAATCAAGCCTAGAAATAACAAAGGCATGCAGTACCCGCTCCAGGTGGGCTCTTGACAGCATATGCTTAATTTTTGCAAGGCGTCTCAGATGAAAGAAACTGGACCGGATCACTGAGTTGATGTGAGCATCAAATTTAAGTCCAGCATCAATTTTCACCCCCAAACTGGTGACAACTGGTTTTGAGAAGGGAGAAAGAGGGCCAAGATCAACATAACGACCCACATTCCTGCTGTTGGGGTGAAAAACAATGAGCTGTCTTTCCCTCATTCAGATGCAGAAAGTTGGCCATTAGCCAAGACTTCACCTCATTAAGACAGGACACAAAGAGTGTCCTTTCTCCTGACACAATGGAGAGTAAATCTGGCAATCGTCAGCATAGAGATGGAATGATAGGCCATGTTTACGAAAGATTGACCCCAGAGGTAGCAGATCAATGGCAAACAAAAGAGGACCAAGGATCGATCCCTGCGGGACCCCCCAGCAGAGCCCCTCCCAAGAAGAAAAACATCACCCAGTTTAACGCAGAATGTCCTGTTGTGGAGATATGATCTAAACCAGTCCAGAGCAGACCCTTTGATCCCAACCCATCGTTCCAAGCAATCCAGTAGAATCGCATGGTCAACTGTGTCAAAGGCTGCCGTCAGGTCTAACAACAGAAGCACCACAGATGTACCCTGATCTAGTGATAGATAGATGTCATTTAGGACCCTCAGTAGAGCAGACTCTGTGCTATGGCCAGACCTGAACCCTGATTGGAAAACCTCAAACAGATCAGTCAGCTAAATGTGAGACCAGCTGCTGATAAACGACTTTCTCAAGCAGTTTTGATGTAAAAGGCAGGGTAGAGATAGGCCTGTACTTTTCTATCACAGAGACATCAGCACCAGGTTTCTTCAGGGTCGGCCAAATAACTGCTGCTTTCAAAGCTGCTGGGACCACACCTGTGCTGAGGCTCCCACTGATAATCTGACCAAGTGATGGGCCAAGATACGGAAAGGCAGCCTTCCAGAGACGAGGCGGCAGAACGTCAAGTGGAGAGCCAGATGGCTTCTGCCTCGCAACAAGCTTATTCAGCTCAGAGTATGAAACAGTATTGAGGGAGGTCAGGGTGGGTGGTGACGGAGGAACTGGAACAGTGTCAATAAAGTTACCGCAAATAGCTGCTCTACTGCCTGATACTTTATGAACAAAGAATCTGTGAAAATCTTCAGAGTTTCCAGCAGCTGTAGGAGACATGAAGCTGGGCTCCTGATATACTAGAACTTGGAGGGATTCTTGGAGTTTGTTTCGATGAAGTCTGCAAAATAGGCAGTTCTGGCAACCCTCACAGCATCCCGATAAGCAACCAGTGATGCTCTGAACAACTCACGCGAGAACTGTAGGCCATCCTTTTTCCACTTTCTCTCAGAGGATCTACACGCCCGCCTACAAGCCCGTGTGACATCAGAGATTCAAGGCTCCCTCCTAGGCCTAGACTTGCAAAGATTGAGAGGGGTAACCACGTCCAGGACCTGATTACAAAGTAAATCAAAGTGTTGTGAATAGTGTTCAGTGTTAGATGGATCAGGGTCAAAGGTCTCTAACCTTACAGACATACAATCCACAAACTTTGAAATAGTTTCTGCATCCAGGGCTCTGAACCTGAAGCGGGAGTTTCACACACAGGAACAGGACATGGCAACGTAACATCGCAGAGTATTGGAGAGTGGTCAGAGAACACAGGAGGCAAAGTCACAAGGTTCATGACAGGGAGACCAAAAGAGAGAACCAGGTCCAGGGTGTGACCCCTGGCATGAGTTGGGGATGATACCCATTGAGTTAGATTGAATGAATCTAGCAAATTAAAAAATCCTTTAGCAAGCACATTGTCAGGACAGCAGATATGGATGTTAAAATCACCAAAAAATAGGACAGTCATATTTTAGGATGCAATCTGCCACAAGATCACAGAAATCGTTAAGGAAGTTAGAGACAGTCTTTGGAGGGCGGTAAATCAGCACAACGAGCAGGCGGGGGGAGATGCGCAGTTCAAAAAAGCACAGTTCAAAGGAAGAAAATGACATGGTGGGTGTAAGCTGTTTACAAGGAAAGCTGGATTTAAAAAAAACAACCAAGGATCCAGGGCTACGTCTCACGCGCTGGCTACCTCTCTTTCCCCGTCTTCTCCGATGCTTCCTTCTCGAGCTGGGGCGGACAGAGGGCCGACACATCACGGCTTGGGGGGAGAGAGCACACGGGCAGTCCAACCAGCAGCGCCATCCGTGAGGTTCCCAGCGAGCGCAACCCGCTACATCAACGGAAGGACGAAGCCTCAGCAGTGCAGCTCGATCGTATGTCAGCAGAGGATCCACACCATTCAAAAAAAGCATCAGAGACAACAAAAATGTATAAAAGCCAATAAAACGCCAATAAAAGCCAGTAAAAAGCAAGGTACCACTGCATAAAGAGGACGAGCAGCTCGCAGCGTGCACCCGGGCGAGCGCCATCTCACTCTCCCATGTCTCACAGACCAGTAAGTTGTCTCAATTTACATGTACAAGCCAGCGAAAATTTTGACTCATCTACACATTAATGAATAGTTAAGTGAGTCCAGAACCTTTGAATGCTACCATAAACTCAACACACAACACAGGGCTGTAGGGTGGTGCAACAGCAAGACTGTCCCATGCCTCTTGGTTGAGATTCTTCTGTGCATAATTACCATGCTCACCTACAGTGCATGCATGGATTTACCCCACCAACCACATTTTTCTCCATCCATCCATCCATCCATCCATCTTCTTTTGCTCATCTGGGGTCAGGTTGTGGGGGCAGCAGCCTAAGCCGAGAAGCCCAGACTTCCCTCTCCCCAGCCACTTGGTCAGCTCTTCTGGGGGAATCCCAAGGTTTTCCTTGGCAGCTGAGATATACAGTCCCTCCAGCATGTCCTGGGTCTTTCTTTCAGTCTCTTCTCGGTTGGACGTGCCTGGAAAACCTCACCAGGGAGGTGTCCTAATCAGATCCCAGAGCCACCTCAACTGGCTCTTCTCAATGTGGAGCAGCAGCAGTTCTACTCTAAGCCCCTCCCGGAAGAAGCTTCTCACCCTATCTCTAAGAGTCCAGCAGCCCTGCAGAGAAAACTCATTTTAGCTGCTTGTATCTGCAATCTCATTCTTTCGGTTACTACCCAAAGCTCGTGACCATAGGCGAGGGTAGGAACGTAGATCGACCGGTAAATCGAGAGCTTTGCCTTCCAGCTGAGCTCTCTCTTAACCATGATAGACCGCCACAATGCCTGCATCACTGCAGATGCAGCACCAATTCTTCTACCGATCTCACGCTCTATGCTTCCCTCACTGGTGAACATGAGATACATACATATATGTTACTCCTCCACTTGGGGCAGGACCCCATCCCTGATCCAGAGAAGTCATCCTACCCTTTTCCGGCTCAAGACCGTGGTCTCGGCTTTAGAGGAGCTGATTCTGATCCCAACTACTGCCACTGTGGGTGTGATTTCTTTTTTAACAGACAAAAAACGTGCATGTTAGATTGACTGGAAAGAAAGCAGGCCTTAGCAATAAACTAAAAATAAAAAGAAAGCTGTAAATCCCAAACTGCTGAACATCTCGTTTAACACCTGAGGTGGAGACAAAGAATCCA